TAGCCGCTTCAAGTTGTGGTGGTCAGGTTAGACCTGTTTCTGCTTATTATGAAGAATGTTCTAGTTGTGTCAGAATTTTCTTTCCTTTCCCCCATTTTTACCATCAATCTACTTGGGTTTTCCTACATGTTCAGCTCTCTTCCAACTGATTACAATACAAACCGTTTGATTGCATGACACATATATCTTGTTGAGCTCGCATAACCATTCCTTAGCTCCAATGATTGGTGGCTTTTGTTCGATTTCAAAAGATAGTCAAATCCAATCTTAATTCTGAGAGCGAGCTAATATAATAGAGATGGTGATTTCAAAGCAAGAAGTACAGATTGTAAGATGATTTGTTCAAACGAAACCTGGACAATATCGATTTCCTTTAACCTGGACTGTTTTCCGTACTGATATGAAATCCACTTCTTTCTTGTATCAGTTCTTGCTCTTAGAATTGATAGGATTAGGAATTGATGGTCATCCTAAATTAAACGAAAGAATGTTTTAAACAAACTGGTTTATTTGTAGTTTGTAATTTATCAAAAAAACACAGACTCTTTTCAGTACTTCATCTTCAAGACGATCAGCGAGTTCTCGCCACTTACTTGTTCAGTCATCACTACAACTCGTAAACTATTCACTATAATCATCTCTGTCGTTTTTATGAATCACCCTCTGTTGGAAAGGCAAAAATGGGCAACTGTTGTTGTGTTCTCAGGACTTATTATGGATGCAGTTGACAGCAAAATGTCTAAGAAGAGACCCCACACTAGTTAGACTTTAAGAATATAAGTCTTTCCTTACCTCATGCTGTGATATCTAACATTTTCTGAGTGTACAGATATGAAATGTTCTTTTTATAATTAATTTCAGCTTCGCTCTGATGTTGGGAGTCGTTGGGATGTATGACTGTTGTTGTAATAATTCGAAACTTTTAGTTGAGGGGTTTTTGTAGTTGTTAATTCTTAGACCATATTGTTCTCACTGTCTCTAAACTAATATTCTTCAGATCTTTTCTTTCAGTAGCGTTTTCTTTTTGTATCACCTCATATGTGAACAAATTTTTCTCTGAGTTCTTTAACTTAAGGCTCTACCTTCCACGTGTTTTACTTTATTTCATAGGGACTGGATTACGCTATCTTTCTTTGCTGTGATGTAGGCTACTGCGTGCAATTGTTGGTTTCTTTGTACTTTC